ATTTCTATTGCTTCTATTTTATTTTCACTGTCTTTAGTGATTGTCCAGCATTCACAGCCTTGTAGAAGGGTTGACCAAACATAGCTAGGTAATAATAAATAATAATGTGTGGCATCGTGGTGGAATAAGTTGCTAGTCAAAATAATGAAATTAAAGAAACTGTCGTTCTTCTGGCCGTCTGACAATTTTTTTTTTTTCCGACCGTTATGCTTTTTTTGGGCTCAACACCTTTAAGTTCTTTTTAAGAACACATTTCTGTGTGGATTTTGCTGATGAACTTTGATCATAGGCACACAAAATTTTAGTTTCCAGTTTCCAAGAACACTCAAGCTTTGGAAGTCACCAAACTTTGGCGGCCATTTTCTTGCTAATTTTACCTCTGTCACAAGGCGATCCACACCTTCAATGTCAATCGCAAATACTGTGACTTCTATTCAAGATGGATGGGTGAGGGGGGGGGGGGAGTTCACCTGAAGGGAGACACATGAACAAGCTTTTCATGTGTTTCAAGTGTTACATTATGAGTCTGTATGTATTTGTTTATATGTTTCGGATGTTACGTTGTCTGTCTGTATGTATTTGTTTGTTTATAATACGTAATACTTTCAGCTCTTACATTGTCTGTCTGTATGTGTTTGTGTGTTTATAATACGTAATACTTTCAGATGTTACGTTGTCTGTCTGTATGTATTTGTGTCTTTCAACCTTCGCATTATCTGTCTGTGTGTGAGCTGTTATATAATGTGTCTGTATGTATTTATGTGTTTCAGCTGACACATTTTTGTTCATATGTACCTGTGTGTTTATATGTTTCAGTTGGTACATTATGTCTTACCCCACTGGGTGGTGCCACTGACTGAAGTGTCTTTATGCCATTCCCAAAAGGGGGGACATATCTCGTTCAAGCATAGTAGAATTGTAAATGGGCTGATTCATGTCAGGCTCATAACTGTGCCTGATCTACAACAGGGAACTGCTGCTTTTTCTTTCCCGATCCTTACTATTGTCATTTTCCTCTACTTCTTTTGTATGTTTGTCACTCCCTTGTGACCTGCTATTTTGGGGTGCCTTGATAGTCGAAGCAGACCTTGTGCTGTTGAAGCTAGAGAGGTGAGCAATCTAAGTCTCATTCCCTGTAAAGACTTCTCTGTTGACACCCACCCCTTGGCGCTCATACGACCTTATGCAGTTGCGAGCGCTGTAAAACCCTCTGCTATAAAAAATTTTTAAAAAATAAAAAAAACATTATGTGTTTGTATGTATCTCTGTGTTTATATGTTTCAACAGTTACATTATGTATCTGGATGTGCCTGTGTGTTTATATATTTTGACAGTTACATTATGTGTCTCTATGTATCTGTGTGTTTCAGCCGTCGCATGAACAGCCTGACCCTGCAGCGACACACGCAGCTCCTGGAGGTGCTGGAGATGCCCCAGTTGATGGACACGTGCGTACGGAACGGCTACACGGAGGAGGCTCTGGAGCTCGGCGCACACGTCAAGCGGCTGGAGAAGAAGCACGGCAACGTCCCTGTCATAGCTGTGAGTGGGAGGGGCTTACAAGTGGAGGGTGGGTTGAGGTTTGCTGTGACTGGGAGGGTTCTTTTGGGTTTATGCTGTGAGTGGGAAGGGCTTATCAGATGTTTATGCTGCAAATTGGAGGGGCATATCAGGGGTTTATGCTATGAGCGGAAGGGGCTTATCAGGGGTTTATGTTATGAGTGGGAGGGGCTTATCAGGGGTTTATGTTATGAGTGGGAGGGGCTTATCAGGGGTTTATGTTATGAGTGGGAGGGGTTTATGTTATGAGTGGGAGGGGCTTATCAGTGGTTTATGTTTTGAGCGGAAGGGGTTTATCAGGGGTTTATGCTATGAGTGGGAGGGATTTATCAAGGGTTTATGCTGTAAATGGGAGGGGTTTTCATGGTTTTATACAATGAGTAGGAGGGGCTTATGAGGGTTTCATCAGTAGTCTAGTGGTTAGGCTTGCAGACTTGTAATCGTGAGGTTGCGAGTTTGGGGGTTCAAGCCTCAGGCCGGAAGTTGTGTCCTTGGGAAAGGCACTTTGCACAAACTTTCCTCACTTCACCCAGGTGTGAATGGGCACCTGGCAATAGATGGCGAAAGATCTTATCAGTATGTTTGTGTTTTAGCGCCTATAAATGGCATCTTGCACTGTGTGTTTCCCCTATGGATTCCCAATCCAACACACTCCTGGTTGTGCATGTTTCCAATGCTGTTTGTCACAGGTGGTGTCTGTAGTCTAGGGGTTAGGCTATCAGATTTTTATTTGTCAGATTGTGTGGGTTTGGTTGTTTGAGGTTAAATTCTGTCTAATATTTTGTCCTCTGGAGAAGCACTTCACAGGAATTTTCCCATTGACTGAATCCTGTTGGAGGTGGGTGTTAAATCTGGAGTTGCTGCCCTTAAATGACGCCCCTAAAGTGACCTTACAGTGTTTCAAGGGGCAATGTTGTAACATGTATTCCTATTTAGATTATCGTTATTATTATTATTATTACTATTATTATTATTACTATTATTATTATTATTATATAACACATCTCTGCATGACCTCCTCAAGCATGGTCGTTTGATTGTATGTTGGTTTTTTTGGATATTTGAGGAAAGAGATGTGTGATTTCAATTACAATTTGGACTTTTTTTTTTTTCCTTTGTTTGTTTGTTTGTGACAGAGCATCGTAGAAGAAGTGAAGGCCTCAACGCAGCTGCTGCTGACCCAACTGATACAACAGCTGCGCACAAATCTGCAGCTTCCCGCCTGTCTGCGCGTCATCGGATATCTCCGCCGGATGGACGTCTTCACAGAGGCCGAGCTGCGCATCACCTTCTTGCAGGTACTGATATCTTTGCTCTCTATATGTGTGTATGGGTTTTTATATGTGTTTGTGGGGGAGGGGGGGTTGTGTGTTTCTGTGTGTGTGTCGGTATGTGTGTATTATTATTATTATTCTTTTTTTTTTTTTTTTTGTAGGTTTTTTTTTAGGTAAGTATTTTATGGCACCCGCAACTGCATACGGCCATATGAGCGCGGGACGTATTAACCCTCTAAGCGCTAAGCCATTTTTACCATTACTTCCCTTCAGTGCTAGGTTTATTTTAGAAAAATGCTAATTTTCAACATGGCTGTAAAAAAAGCTCATGTCTTTCTTATTTATCATTTCTAATTACAGTGAGAAGGAAAAATGTGTCTTAAACAATGAACTACCCTTATGTCTGGTCAGATGTGTTTTTTAATGATGTTGTCGTTGGTATCAAAATCCTCATAATTTTTAGTCCAGCCTGCTTGGAGATCAGCAGTAATATCGATGTCCCCTTCTGGGCTTAACCTCGCTAGGTCTAGATCTAGATCTACGACACGATATCCCCATCATTCACACGTAGATCTATATCTTTTATTTAAGGACCTAATCCTTCTACCCCTTTATCACAGTGGTCTGATTCCAGAAAAATGTTGGGTAAATCTGAGTGTCTAAATCAGCTGACGAATCCGACATTTTGAAAACAGTAAACAATATCCCAGAAAATTGCCAATAAAAAACTCCCAACCGATCCCCGACTGGGAAATGCATGGCCAGTGGCACTAATAAACATTGCACTGGTGGACTGTAGTCACCAGCAGTTTAAAAAATGGCTATTATCATGTCAGCGGTATAGTTTCTACACTCATGTCAGATCACGACCCGTGGTCGCGATGCGCGCGGAAGGGAGGTATGAGTCATCGCGACCATGGTCGTGATGCGCTCGCAGAGGGTTAAACATTTTCAGTTGGTGAGAAATTTTGAATTTTGCCCAAGTGGAGGTCGAAGCCTACAATTCTTGATTTTAGACCACCAAGTGATCTTTAATGCGCTCAACTTGCGCACATGACCTCCGAGATTTTTCGCCCTTGTTGGAGAAGGCTAGGTGTAGAATTTCCTACCAGAAGATCAGAGATGTGGCTGAAAGACAGCAGTAAGGAGCCAAGGAGTAGCAATAGAAAGGCTGCAGAAAGAGGAGCCCAAAGGAGGGGGCTAATGAGGTGGGGGGGGGGGGCAGAAAGTGGAGACGAAAGCAGAGGACAAAACATTGCTTGAGAACAGGAAAGGAGGTGAAAGGAGACGATTTTAGAAAAGAAAATTTTTCCGGCGCTACCCGCGTTAGAACCCCGGACCTTTGAATGAAAGGCGAACACTTTAACCTCTAGGCCACAAGAGCCCCCTATTAATATCATTATTATTATTATTATTATTATTGTAACTGTTATAATAATTATTATTATTATTGTTTTTGTTATTATTATTATTATTATTAATAACTAATATTATTATTGTTATTATTTTACTTGTCTCTGAATAACCTTCACAAACATAGCCTTTTGAATGTGTGTCTGCTTGTTTGTTTCAGGCAAGAGATGCGTGGTTTCAAAGCATACTGGAGGCTATACCTTGGACTGATCGTGAGTGAGCTGGCATGTAGGAGGAGAGAGAGGAGAGAAAAAAAGATGAAGAGATTAAAAAAAGAAAGCTTGCTCGCAGTTTATGAGATATTTTTTTGTTAAAACTTATTTCACAACCGTGTAGTGACGGGTTTTTTTATTTAAATGTTCTCTTAGTAGTCTGTAAATCTATGTAATGTATGTGCGTGCCTTTGTGATGGAATCTGTATGGGTTTTTTTCAAGATACAGTCAAATTGTGGGTAGTTGGGAGGGGCTCTGGTGTGGTCTGCTCCTTCTTTGCTATCAAGCATCTATCCTCCTTATCTCTCCTCCTCCTTTTTTGTGTTTGTTACTTGCTCATAACACCTCTAATCTTCAGCACTTATATTACCTAATTGTGTTGAAAGTGTCGTAAAGTGCTTTTCTTAAGCAAAGTGTCAAATAATTGGAGAATGATGTATGAAAATGAAAAGGAGGCTTATTTAATGTAACTCACTGGACCTTGGCCCGTATGGAATCTCTCTCTCTCTTTTTCTCTCTCTTTCTCTCTCTCTCTCTCTCTCTCTCTCTCTCTCTCTCTCTCTCTCTCTCTCTCCCTCTTTCTCTCCCTCCCTCCCTCTATCTCTCTCTCTCTCACACACATATACACACACACTCACACTCGCTGTCTCCCCTCCTCGCCCACAGCCTACACACACATTAGCAAGACCATCGAGGCGAGCCGTGTGCACTTGTTTGACATCATGACCCAGTTCCGCGCCATCTTCTCTGACGAGGACCCGCTGGTCAGCTCCGGCCGGGCGGAACCGGTCACTCAGTCCCTCATCTTTCACAGCTGGGTTCTGCAGAAGGTCAGTATTTCTGAGAGGACGGTTCTGTGGATAGTTTTTGTGTAAAATTAGAAAAGTCGAACGCCCTTTGTAATATTGTAAGGGTATTTAACTCTTTGTCTCTGAGGGGGGAACCCACTATGCTGGGCCGTATTTTGGAACGAAATCTAAAAGTGACATATACGTCACTCAAATGGTCATTTAATCAAAACAAATGAACTTCTTGTGATAGTTCTTCATGTAGTGAATAAACCCCCTGTAAAATAATAGGTAGCATTTGTATAGCGCAAATCCCCACTTAACAGCAAGCTCTATGCGCTTCACAATCTATACTAAAAGAGAATTGTTTTCAGCAATTACCAAAAAGTAATTTAACGGGGAAGTCGTCGTAAAGGAATGTGCGCGGCACAGTGGCCCCAACCACGAGCAGCTGGGAGCAGCTTGCCGGAGGTAAGGAGTTAAAATGTATTCAGTATTGCCTTACAGCTCCACGAGAATCTCCTAAGCATACCTCACTTATTGCTGGTACTTTGTATTGCTATTTTTTTTAATTTGTGAAAAAATTGCTCATGTTATAGTCGAATAAATACGTTAGTTGACATGGCAGTTCGAGCATAACATATCTCTGTTAAAATTTGATACTTGTGTTATCAACAATATTTTCCTCTCCAGATTTCCCAGTTTTTGGCGACACTAGAGAATGACCTTGCCCAGGGAGCAGGAGGTCGTCTGGACTCTATCCTGGGTCAGTGTATGTACTTCGGTCTGTCCTTCAGCCGTGTCGGGGCCGACTTCCGTGGACTCCTGGCCCCCATCTTTGAGCGGGCGGCCATCAACTATTTTGCCTCGGCCTTGAAGGAAGCCAACAAAAAGTAAGAGAGGGCCTTCTATGTTTGGCTTTTGTTGTTTTTGTTGTCGTTGTCAGATATTTGTCTGTGGGGTGTGTGGCAGATGCTCTGGTTTTGTTTACTCCTTCTTTCTTATCAAACATCTATCTCCGGATCTCTCCTTCTTTCTTATCAAACATCTATCTCCGGATCTCTCCTTCTTTCTTATCAAACATCTATCTCCGGATCTCTCCTTCTTTCTTATCAAACATCTATGTCCGGATCTCTCCTTCTTTCTTATCAAACATCTATCTCCGGATCTCTCCTTCTTTCTTATCAAACATCTATCTCCGGATCTCTCCTTCTTTCTTATCAAACATCTATCTCCGGATCTCTCCTTCTTTCTTATCAAACATCTATCTCCGGATCTCTCCTTCTTTCTTATCAAACATCTATCTCCGGATCTCTCCTTCTTTCTTATCAAACATCTATCTCCGGATCTCTCCTTCTTTCTTATCAAACATCTATCTCCGGATCTCTCCTTCTTCTCCTTTGTTGTGTTTGTAACTTTCTTGTAACACCTCTAATCTTCGGCACTGACAGAACATAAACATGTGCAGAGCCGAAATGAGACATTAGACAAAAGATGATAGGCCTATCGACGACACATCAATGCCGTGGATGGTTGACGGGTGCTCTGGTGTGGTTTGCTCCTTCTTTTCTATGAAACATGTGTCGTCCTTATCTCCCCTCCTTATTTTTTTGTTTACATTACTCTCTTTTGACACCTCTAATCTTTGACACTTATATGATGTTATTGTGTTTCAAGTACCATTATTCCCCAGGGCAGTGTTACTGACTTAAGTGTGTTTAGGCCTTTCTCAAAGGGGGGACATTAACACGTTCTTATGCTCGGTAGAATTTTAAATGGGCTTATTCATCAATGTCATGCTCATAACTGTGCCTGAACTGCATACGGGGAACTGCTGCCTTTTCTTTCCTAACCCTTACTATCGTCATTTTTCCTCTACTTCTTTTGTATGTTTGTCACTCTCTTTGACCCGCTATTTCCGGGGTGCCTTGATAGTCGAAGCAGACTTAGTGCTGTTGAAGCTAGAGGGGTGAACAGAGTAGGCCTGATTCCCTATGTGGGTTTCTCTGTTGACATCCGCCCCTTCTGCGCCGTAAAAACTCTACTCAAACTAAACTAAAACAAGTGCCATAAAACTTACTAAAACTCACATACACACATACAGAAAAGTAACCCCCCCCCCCCCCCTCCTCATCCCCCAACTTTCTTTGTTTTTCCCCTGTTTATAAGACCTTTCATGTGACCTCTGACCCCTACTTCTGTGTCCCGTGTCCAGGTTTGAGGAGAACATGCAGTCGTACAACCTGCTGGGGCTGACCACAACGGGCGGGCTGCCGTTTGGCATGGGTGCCTCTCAGGTCAGGAATTGGAGAACAATTGTTACTATTTTACACCCCTATTGACACGATTGGGATCATGGAAAATGCAAAAATATTGCGAGTATAGGGAAACCATATAAATTACTGTATATCATAGCGTTTAGTGTTTACCTAAAATCCGTGGCCTCCAAGTCATCCTGTGTCTTGTTTATGAAATGTGAAAAACCAAGTAGGGGCCGATAAAGGGAATCAGAAACAAAATAGCTGCTCCTTGTTGTGCTGTTAATCTAGATTTAAGACTGCCAATGAAAAACACGTTTAAAAAAAAAATCTTTCTTTGCTTTGTTTTGAAGTGTGGTTATTAACACATTACACTCTAAGGGCCTAGACGGGAAGTCCATTCCACGATCCTAAGCAAGGGGAAGGAACCCACCTCACGTGAATACAAGCGTTTAATAAACACATTTTAAAAATACTAAACAAGTTCCAAAAATCCTGAAAAAATTAAAGTTAAAAAGAAAGATGAATGTAGTTTCGAAAAAATATAACTTTATGTATGCGCAAACTGTTGGAAATGTTCTAACTTTAGTTCAGTCGGGGTGTCCGACCCATTACTTTCACTCTCAGCCTCATGGTCGGGCCCTAGATCTAAATTCTAGATTTTCTACATCTGATCTATCTGAATCGCCCAAAACTCTTGCTACAACGTTTTCATCAAAATCTGAGTCATCTGATTTGTCATGTACTTGTTTTTACTCAAATCCATCGTTGTTTCCTTTTTCGAACTCAAGTGTGTCGCTTTTCAACGAGTCGAGATGCCTTGGAAGTGTCGGTAACGCGATCGCACTTCGATCGGCTCTAATACTAAAACTACTGGCCAGAAAAATTATGTTTCAGTATCAAGCGAAAGAAGAAACTTTTTGCAATAACTATGCAAATTAAAATCCCGGCCCCAGAGTCTCGTCAAGGCAAGACTCCATTTCTGAAGATGCTAGGTCGGCGCGGGCAGTTCCGGGCGAGTTAGGGTGGAGCACGTAAGGAAATTCCCGGGCGAGTTAGGGTGTAATGTTTTAAGGAAAAAAACTGATGAAGTAAGTGAGAAAAAGAGAGTGGGTTTGAAGAAAGAGACAATATTTGTCCTGTATACTTACTATAACGATGTATTATTTCTGATTTTAACATGTACAAATGTGGGTGGTTTGCGTATGCCCCGGTGTGATTTGCTCTTTCTTTCCTATCAAGCATCTATCACCCTGATTTCTCCTACTTAATTTTTGCATTTGTTATTTTCTTGTGACATCTCTAATCTTCATCACTTATGTGACCTTATTGTGTTGCAAGTGCCGTAAAACTCGAAGCAAAATGTATAAATTTCTCTTGGTAACCTTTGTGTCCTCAGAGCGGCCAGCTGTACCCCCCGACTGCCCTACTAGACTTCTACCCTCTGGCCGCCTACTGTAACCACGTGCTGGCTGCCTTCAACGACCTTCGCCTCTGCTCACCTCTGACCTTAGCCTGCCGGGTGGCCGAGGAGCTGCAGAGGTCATTGCTGGAGGTCAATCGAGTCATCCTAGCCTTTCACAGGTTTGTTGATGGGCGGAGAGAACTCGGCCCTATTGCGCCTATCTTATGAATCAGAACGTAAAACTTCTTATTGCTATCTTATGAATCAGAACGTAAAACTTCTAATTACTATCGTATGGATCAGAACATAAAACTTCTAATTACTATCTTATGAATCAGAACGTAAAACTTCTAATTACTATCTTATGAATCAGAACGTAAATCTTCTGATTACTATCGTATGGATCAAAACGTAAAACCTCAAATTACTATCGTATGGATCAGAACTTAAAGCCTCAAATTACTATCGTATAGATCAGAATGTAAAGTCTCAAATTACTATCATATGGGTCGGAACGTAAAGCTTCAAATTACTATCGTATCGATCAGAACATTAAACTTCAAATTTCTATCGTATGGATCAGGACTTAAAACTAATACTTTGTTATCTTATGGATCTGGAAGAAACAATTTTACTATTCTCGATCTTGTGGATTGGGAAATGAAATGATTATAATTTACAATCTTATCGATCAGGACGTAAAATGTTAACAATTATTATCTTATGGATCAAAAGGTTACTATTTACTATTAATGATAAAATGGGAGGAATGTAAAACTTAAAATTTACTATCTTATGGATCGGGATATAAAACATTTACAATTTACAACTTAATGGGTCAGAAAGCAAAACATTTTTACAATTTATGATCTAATGGATTTGTTGGATGAAAAACATTTACAATTCACTATCTAATTTATTCGTATGTAAAAACGTTTACATTCTTATAATGGATTGGGACATAAAAACATTTACGATCTTGTGGATGTTGTTGCAGAGCGGAGGAGACGACCTTCAACCCCAAAGAGCGCGACCAGTTTGAGCAGTTCTGTGCGGGCTACGCCGCGGATCTCCTGCCATACATGAACAAATGTCTCCAGGCCGTGTTCCCGCCCGCTCAGCTGGCCCAAGCGCTCGGCCTCTCCGTCTCCGAGATTAACAGGAAGGTGAGAGATGATGAGATGAGATCTTCTTCTTCTTCTTCTACTGCTTCTTTTTCTTTTTCTTCTCTTTTTTTGCGTTTTCCCTACTAGATCTCAGGGGTAGTCGGCTATTGGTCCTTTGTGATTAGATTGACCCGTTGTCTATGTGGAGCAATTTGTTTGTGTTGCAAATGGAACAAATTTATTTCCAAAATTTATAGACTACCCAAAGGGGAATTAAATCCCATGTACTCTTTTTAAGCATGTTTTTTATTTTTTAATGGTATAATTTCTTTGTCTGACCACAATCTGAAGTGATGAAATTGAGCTTTTTGAAGTGGTTTTTAAAGTGTTCACTGAAAGAAAGTATATTGTTTAATTTGGGTTGTTGTTCCTAATTGCTAATGAAAGGTAGAAGGAACTTATGTGTGGCATAGTGGTGAGATCAGGTGCCTGTCAAAATAAGGAAATCGAAGAAACTGACATTTTCCTCCTGGTAGGCAATTTTTATCGAATCTTTTCTTCTGGCTCGGCACCTTTTTTTGTCCTCGTATTAAGACATTTCTGGGTAAACTTTACTGAAAACCCTAAATCAATGACACATTAAATGTAAATTTGCAGTTTCTAAAGACTCTGAAGCTTTGGAAGTCACCAATTTTGCCAGCCGTTTTCTCGCTGATTTTACCTCTGATACCAGGCGACTCCCCACCTCATTTAATTGCAATGAGCCCGACTACTGTTGAAGATGTATGGATATTTTTTCATCAAAAGCAAGACATGCGAGCGCCGTAAAACCCTGTACTAAACAAAACTAAACTAAAAGCAAGACAAACGAATACGCTTTTAGATCATACCAATAATTCCCTTTGCCAAAAAATTGATGAGCCCCCGATTCCACCATGTTTTGACACGACATATGACATCACCAACTGTCCCCTTGTAGTCATCATGTACAATGTCTTACAGACTGCCATCTGTCTCCCCCACAGGTGTGTGTTGGCCAGGTAGACTTGAATGCCGTGCTGTCCAACATAGAACACCTGATGCCCACCCCTCCCCCTCCCCCCGAGCCTTCGACGGTGCAGGCACTGGCCAACGCCAATGACGAGCCCACCGAGCCCGTGACCTTCACTTTGGACTCTGCCGGTGCTGAGGAAGAGGAGGGGGAGGGAGAGGAGAAGAAAAAGGGTGAGGAGTTAGAGGAGAGAACATCGACGACGGGGGTGGCGACAGCTTCTGATGCTGACGCGGCTGCAGTTTCTGCCGGGGCTGTCTCGATGACCTCTGACGACAGCAAGGACAGCAGTGACATGACGACAGAGACATCGACTGAGAAGGCGCTGTCGACAACTTCTGCCATTGCAGGGGCGGGGCTTGACATTCCGTTGGCTGAGCCCCAACCCTCGTCCGTTGTGGCCGAGGAGGTGGAAGAAAAGGAAGACGGAGGTGGTTGGAACACTGAGCCGTTTGATCTTGATAACCTAGATAATTTGACTTTTGACCCATCAGGACCTTCTGTAGACCTTGACCTCCTACCCACACCTGCAGGGTCAGAGGTCAGCGGAGGGGCTGGCAAGAGTGACGCAAAACAAGATTAGGTGTAAATGTAGATTGACGTGCAATTGTCCCCCCTCCCCCTCCCTTCCTGCAGTGGATTGACAGTGGAAGTTTGGAGGGGGGGGGGAGTAAATAATCTCACTTTACTTAAGCAGGAGGGGGCAAGGACTAAAGGACATTATAAGGACATGAACATGGATTGGGTTCTTTAGATGTACGGAAACATTATATGATATTTTGACTTTGATGCATCAATGTCTCTATGTCCTCTTTCTTTCTTCCTTTGTCTTTCTTCTTCTTTTAAACCTAATAATCTGCCGTCAAAATTACCTGTTTGTGTCCAATGGAGCATTAAATTTCCGTCACGACAAAAAGAATAAGTCTCTAATTCTAAAACGTTCAGGGCTTCAGGCTAGAGAGATGCTTCACTCAAGCGGAAACAGCAATGACTCTTGTGATGGAAGTGATTGAAAGATGTGACTGTGGATACTCCCTAACTTACGGATGTCTAATGATGAATAACGTAAATGTGGAAACTGCAGAAGTACAGATACATGTGTTTTATTTTGAAGTTTGATACGCGATTGTGTTTGTCTTCTTTTTTCCTCCTCCTTTCTTTACTCTTCTATTTGGGCCAAGTGTTTGGCTTTCAAAATTGTCTGTTTTTGTCTTAAAGATTATTATTATACTCCCGTAAGGCAAAAGGTTACTAATACCGTCTTGGCTTCAAGCAATAGAGATGCTTCTGCCTGTGTGTTGAGGTGCTGCTCTTTGATCCTAATATTGTGGGTTTGAGTCCTGATTGTTAGGTGTTTGGCAGGTGCTCTGGTGTGGTTTGCTTCTTCTTTCCTATGAAACATCTACCGTCCTTATCTCCCCTTCTTCTTTTTTGTGTTTGTTACTCTCTTGTAACACCTCTAATCTTCTGGCGCTCATATGACCTTATGCAGTTGTGAGTGCGTAAAACTCTTACTAAAACTTAAACTAAAAGTGATGGTGTACTTTGTACTTATGTGTCTCTGTGGAATGTACTGTCTCTCTTGCTCTCTTTCTCTGGCTTGTGGGTGGTTGGTGGATGCTCTGGTGTAGTTTGCTCCTTCTTTCCTGTCAAGCTCCTATCATCCTTATTGGCTTATCTCTCCTCCTCCTTTTTTGTGTCAGTTGCAAGTGCTGTAAAACGCTTACTAAAACTAAGGGACCCTAAAACTAAACTCTCTGTGGCTTTTTAAAATTAATCCTCTCCGTTTGTATTTGTGACTGTATTTGCTGACGTGGTATATATGAAAATAGCTATGAATGGTAATAGTCGCTAACTGTGTGATTCATAAAATACTTCTTTCAAGGAAAACAGTGTGCAATTGTCAAGAGTGTCACAGAATGGATAAATATACACATTTTGAGACAAAGTTGTATTTCATATTTTTCATTCTGTAAACTTTCACTTTTTAACACACTAGCAATATTTTTCAGACAAAATTAAAACTAGACCAAGTTTTGAGCTTACATTTTGCTATTTGTTATTGTCGATATGAAAGACACGCTGAACGGTCTTTGTTTGAGTGAAGAGAAGCACGTCCACTCTGGAATGGTCGTTTAGCTCCGGGAAAAAGTAAGACAGACGGACAAACAAACAACAGAGGGAAAGTAAAGGAGCGAGACCCTCAAGTGGTGCCCTCCAACCACCCGCAAGTCAAGGTGTGGTTTTTTTTAATGAGAGTTGTTGTTGTTGTTATCGATCCAGTTTTTTATGAGAGAAGACAGTTGTTATCCGGCCGATATACTGCTATATTATCAGTGCATTTCACTATCCACGTATGAGCACTGAGATACTTTTGAGAAAATGTGAACAAACTATTATTAGTCTCGTTTTAGCCTCTTGATTTTTACAATTAATATTTAAGTTATCATGAATTTATTGATTAAATTGATGTAGAGTAAAATGTGAAAGCTTATTGCTAAGATTGTGCTTAGGTCAAACGCCTTAAGACCAGAGTTTTCAAACTTTGCTCCATACACGGATAGCAAACTGCAATGATGATATATACTGTCTGTGATTGTGATGTAATGGTTAGCTTCTTCTTCTATAGACACAGATGACCCAAGTTTGATTTCCACATGGGGAAGTTGGTGTATTGGGTGGCTCAGTTTGCTGGGATGCTTTCTCAGACCGGGCTGTTCCTGACAGGCTGAGTCGAAACAGCCTGCCTCCAAATTAACCTCAATTGTGTTGATAATGGCTTTAAACATTCACACTCATCCATAGCCAAATATATGTCATCTGCAAGGTGATATATTTGTATTTGAACATTTAGTGTTGTCAATATACAAGAGAGTGTAGTCCTGCTTGAAGAAAGTGATAAATCCTCATTGTACATTACTTTGTTATTTTTTATTGATCATGTTATCATATTTATTGTGTCAGCTGTTTCCATGGTTACGTTGACTGTGGGGTCCAATTTCTGCCATTAAAAAGGTATAAAAAATAAAGATATTCTTATGTTCTGTTTGTCAAATGGATGATTGTGAAAAAATCTTTTGTGTAATTCAAACTTATCATATTCAATGGTGATGATGTTTTGCTCACTTCAACCGGTCTGTGGTTTGCAGGTGCTCTGGTGTGGTCTGCTCCTTCTTTCCTATCAAAATTGTTCCTATTTCTCCTCCTTTTTGGGAGGGCTTGTTACTCTCTTGTAATACCTCTAATCTTCAGCACATACATGGCCTAATTGTGTTGCGAGTGCCGTAAAACTAAACTTTACTCGCACAAAAATTTATTCACAGAAGGTGGTGGGTGGGCACTTGTCACATTTGAACCTGTAAGGGTTTTCGAGACCATTTTTTCTTAGAAAAGATAAAAATTACCCTCAAATAAGATAATGGTCAAAATTGTTGAAGATGGCCTCCTCCCATTGTCAATGAGAAAAGCGCTTTGCTTAGATGAGTGGACATCTTGGACAGAGCTGTTGTAATATTTTTAAAAGACGGGAACGTATAGGAAGTGATTGTTTGTACAAGTGATTGTCTTGGACTGGTGACCGTTAGAGCTGGTCGGCCACATGTCAGTGTCTTTGGCTTCTGTAGAAAGTTGATACACTGTAATGTCCTGTGAAAACACAGCAGGCTTTCAAGTATTGTTGTCTCACTATGACTATGACATTTTCTGTGAATTCCAATTCGTTCGATGAAAGCCGTTTGGTTGTTCTAAACACAGGAAGCAACATTTTTCAGGAGAAAAAAAAATACTGCCTTTTAAACCAAAATATATACCGAGCCTTTTCTTGCTCTTTTCAAGATACAGAATGTGAATTTCAACAAAATATTTCTGGAGCACTTGCAACTGATACTACAATACTACAGATGAAGAAGCTGCAATTAAAAAAAAAAAATCAAATTTTTCGCTTGGTACATAATCTGAATAGCTGGTTACTGATATGCTCTTGCCTAAACTTAAAAGATTTTCCATTATTCAGGTCCAAATTTTTAGCCCAGGTTCATTACAAACTATGTTAATTAGTAAAATAGAAAGAAATCAAATCTGAGAATACCGTGACTTGTTAGAAATTTTTGGACCCAAAGGTTCACTTATAATTGACTTGCATGGACGTATAATTAAAAATATATCATCAGTCTGAGCGTCATTCCACAAGTGCCCAATTTTTTTTTTTTTAACTTTAGCAAGAGTTTTATTTAGAAATATTGTGAGGCGTCGGTGGTCTAGTGGTTAGGCTCTCAGACTCGCAATGCTCTGGGTTCGAATCCTGTCAGAGACCCCACATTTTGTCCTTGGGAAAGGCACTTTACACAAATTTTCCTCACTTCATCCAGGTGGGAATGGTTACCCGGCTACAGATAGCGAAAGATCTTGTCAGTTTGTTGGTGTTTGAGCGCTTTATCAGCTGCTTACCCTATATGCTTCCTGGGAAGCTGAGAATGTTTCTAAGTGTTCTATGGTCTGCTAGGGAAAGAATCCAGTGCAAAGCGCATAGAGTTTGCAGTCCAGCAGGGATGTGCGCTCTATACAAATGCTATTTATGTATTATTATTATATATAAGTGCCGAAGATTAGAGGTGTTACAAGAGAGTAACAAACACAAAAAAGGAGAGATTTGGACCATGGATTAGATGTTCCACTTGAAAGAAGGAGCAAACCACAACAGAGCA